AACTATCTTGAAAGATAGATATGAAAGAGCCAAACTGTCTCCTACTAACTTAACTATGGCCTAGACCAATCTCCAGGCTAGTTACAAAATATATATAAATATCCAGCTCCTAACGAGGGAAAAAACAATCTTTGCCATCCAATCAGAAATCACCAGGCAATCAGTGTGGCAGGAAAATATGAACATTAAGTCTAGGAAAAAATACATCAGTAGAAACTCACTCAGAACTGATAAATGAAATTATGCATAACAACATTAAAATATGACTATATTCCATATGTTCAAAAAGCTAGGGAAAAGACTGAATGCTAATTAGAGACGTAGACAGCATCTTAAGCTTCCCTGTGGCTCAGCTGGTAAAGAAGCAGCCTGCAGTGTGGGAGACCTGGGTTTGATCCCTGGGCTGGGAAGATCCCCTGGAGAAGGGAATGGCTACCCACTCCAGTATTCTGGCCAGGAGAATTCCACCATGGGGTTGCAAAGAGTCGGACACGACTGAGTGGCTTTCACTTTCACTTTCAAAATAATTTAAAAGACAGTGGAACTTTGAGAGATGAAAACAAAGATATCTGACATGTCACAGAGACATATGTTCAGTGTAATTCCCTTATGAAAACTTCAAAACCATGCAACACTATTCATTTACTTTATTGGGGTACAATAAATCCCAAGATAATGGGAGAATTCAGTATTCAGAAACGTAATTACTCTGGGGCAGAGGGAGGGAAAGACAAACAGGCAACAAAAGGCACAAAGCAGGTTTCCAAAGTGCTGTTGATATTCTATGACTCAAGCTGGTGGTAGGCATGTGGTATGTTGTTCTGAAAAGCACACACATATCATCTATGCCATTTTGTATGTATAATATATTTATAGTGTACATATCTGTAGTATACATATTTCATAATATATTTAATAACAACAACAATGACAGTAAAGATTACTCTGGTGGCCATGTGGATGAAGGGAGATTAATAGAGTCAGGGAGAAAATTAAAGCCACTTTTGCAGTAGTGATAAAATGGGAAAGGACAACAAAGCTCACAAGTCTTTTGAAATAGAATTTAGGAATGTGAGTTGAATGCAGTAGTTTAAAGGGAAAAAATGAGTTTTTCTGTTTCCTGAAACTGAAAAAGCTTCTGAGACTGTTAAGTTTGTATGAATTAAAAGAAAATTTCTGGAAGGCTAGCTATAAACGGACAATATTGTTTCTTTCATTGGGCAACTAAAAAGTTCCAGGCCCAGGAAGGAGGGTATCTTATTTGAATTCTGAACCATGTTTGTATATTAACTACCCAAAAAATGGAAAGCAAAATTAAAGAGCAGAGATTTTTGTTTAGCTCAGAATTGACCATTCTAATGAGGGAAAATGTTGGGAGAAGCAAGATAATTATGGAAATGACTTCCCCTGTGTTTGGTTTTCTGCCGCTGAATTAGGCTAAATAGCAAGTCTTGTATTTATCATAGGCTGGGATGGGAGTCGAGCTGACCGTCTTCTGGTCAGGGCTGAGTCTTCATGAGCTGAAGCGTGGGTCCCAGGGTTGCCCCTTCAGGAGGGCAATGGGTGGGGCAGTCACTATGACTGATGTGTTTACCAACAGCACAAAGAAACTATTAAGTGTTTCCAGGTGGATCCTTGTGACTGCAGCGGCACCATTTAAAAATGAGGAAGTGAGTTTGATCCTGTCTTACCTACCCTTTCTATATTTTTTCCTGGTGGACCCGCTCCTGTATATAATCCTGCGCACATATTAGCTAGTCTTCAGTAAGCTGCTAATTTACTGATAATGCCTTAAGGTATTTAACCCTCCAAGAGGGTTCTGCATTTCTGCATTTTTATCAGAAATCCTAAAAAAAAAAAAAAACCCTCAACACTAAAAGCAGATGTTGTATGCTGTCTAACATTCTAGCCTTTCATTTATATTTGACTAATTACTAAGGCTAACCTTGTCTCTCATTTTACAGTGTCATCTACATAATATAAAATTTTGATCATTGCTTAATTTTTATTCATGTTTTGCCTCATTTCACAAAATATTTTTGGAGACTTGTAGTAAACACATACCATAAAGTGGTGAGCTATGAATAAGTTAAAAATCGGGCTCAGAGAAATAAAAACTTGCATAGAAAGTTGCCCCCAGGTATAAAAGCAGATGAACCACTAGAACTGAGTTTCTTTCAAGTATGGTCTAGGATTCCTGGTGAAAGTGATAAAGGAGACATGATATGTTACTAGTTATTCCCTCTTCCCCTCCCCCTCTCATCTCCTCCCCCAAACCCACTATTTTCCATAAAGGAAGTATATAGTTTTTCCTACATATGACCCTAGAAGAAATTCCTCACCTGGATTATAAGCTTTTATTATCACATCCAAATCCACATACCTTTGAAAATAAAGGACACAGAACCAAAGAAAAAATAAATTTTAGCTGAATTAAAAAGGAGCACTGGGCATGGAAGGGACAGTAGATATATCTGACATGACTTGAGAGAACTGTGTCTTTGTTTACTAGTTTATATCTCAGTAACAAATAACCAGGGATTTAAGAATCCTCATTGTGTACTTCAGAAATACCATGCAATCACCTGATACAGTTGCATCACTTTGGGGGTTCATATGAAAATAATTGAAGTGATTTCACTTGAAAATTCTGTTTGCAGAAGTTTGTGATACATGTTGTTATTCTATAGTGTATTTAAGTTGTTCTTTACAGAATTAAACACCTTTATTTAATGGGCCACTGGGGAAATAATAATAGTTTCTAAGGAAAAGTTTTTTTCAGCATGTTAATTATTGACCTGAAGAGAGAATATATGGATTAAAACTGTACTGGACATGAAGCTGGCAGGGGGAACTGGAACCATGGATGACAGAATCTGGGTCTCATTTCATTTTGAGACCCTAAGTGACCCCTGATGAAAAGAGCATCTTCATGAAAGTGAAAGAGGAGAGTGAAAAATTTGGCTTAAAACTCAACATTCATAAAACTAAGATCATGGCATCTAGTCCCATCACTTCATGGCAAATAGATGGGGAAACAATAAAAACAGTGACAGACTTCATTTTCTTGGGCTCCAAAGTCACTGCAGATGGTGACTGCAGCCATAAAATTAAGAGACCCTTGCTCCTTGGAAGAAAAACTATGACCAACCTAGACAGCATATTAAAAAGCAGAGACATTTCTTTACCAGCAAAGGTCCATACAGTCAAAGCTATGGTTTTTTCAATAGTCATGTATGGATGTGAGAGTTGGACTATAAAGAAAGCTGAGTGCTGAAGAATTGATGCTTTTGAACTGTGGTGTTGGAAAAGACTCTTGAGAGTTCCTTGGACTGCAAAGAAATGAAAGCAGCCAATCCTAAAGGAAATCAGTCCTGAATATTCATTGGAAGGACTGATCCTGAAGCTGAAGCTCTGATACTTTGGCCACCTGATGCAAAGAACCAACTCATTTGAATAAACCCTAATGCTGGCAAAGATTGAAGGTAGGAGGAGCAAGCGATGACAGAGGATGAGATGGTTGGATGGCATCACTGACATGATGGACATGAGTTTGAGCAAGTTCTGGAAGTTGGTGAAGGACAAGGAAGCCTGGCGTGGTGTAGTCCATGGGGTCGCAAAGAGTCGGACATGACTGACCAACTGAACTGAGCTGAACTGAAGTGACCTTGTCACAAGTTGTCTGAAACATGTTCACATCCAGCCAAGCACATTTCCACGTGTCCATGGGATTTCTCAGATAATTCTTCTGATCTTCTGTTCCTTGCTCTGCTCTGTAACTACACTGGTTGAACCCTCTCATCTCAGGACTTGCTGCAGGTCTTTTGCTCACTGACCTACTTGGACCCTCTTCTCCAGCTCAACCCTTGGTGCTATTTTATGGAGATGGGCTGGTGTTCAGTTTGACTCCACACCCTGAAGCTCTGTGGCAAGGGTGTTCCTGCCCTCTCCTGCTCCTGCTTACCCGGCTCGGCTCAGCTGATCATGTCTCCTCATGGCATGTGAGTGTTTCAGGGTGTGCTCAGGGTTTATCTCCTTTGTGTTTTGACTGGAGTCAAGGGTGAGGAAATCTGAGTGCTGCTCCGAGTTTTTTAGCAAAACCAAAAAGTACAAGGGTATATTCATAATTCATTCACCATTCATTCATTGTCCATTGTGTGCTGGGTACTGAAACCAGAGGCAAAAATAATAGACACTGTGTGGAGACACGTGTGTCTTCACAGAATTGAAATAACAGCAAAGGAGGAAGGCATTTTAAGGCAGCCTTCTATGTATGTGATTTACTTATCTTTGAGTTACCTAGTAGACATAATTGATGGGACATTTAGGCAAGAGTGATAAGACAAAGATGGAGCGTCTGTGTCCTGAATAGCAGCTATTAATTGCTCTAGCACAGCAGTTGTCAAACTGAGGCAATTTTGCTTCCCTCTCCTGCCCCAGAGAGAGACATTATTGGATGTTACAACTGAGACAGTGCTCCATAGTGGTTAGATGTCAAGGATGCTGCCAAACATCCTACAGTGCTTAGGACAGTCCCCCATAACAAAGAATTATCGAGTCTAAAATGCCAACAGTTCTGAACTTTAGAATCCTTGGCTAGTGTATGTGTCGACTGTATGTTTCTGAGAAAGCAACTATCAAGAAAGCTTCCTTTAGCCTGATGTTTATTACTGTTAGGTGCAGCAGACATTCAATGAGGGCTCACTATATGCCAGGTATTTATTGTAAACAGTTTAAATGGATTATTTCATTTAATCATCAAAAACTCTATGCTGGATAGAGACAGTGCAGCGGCAAGTGAAAGCCGGATGGGCACTTGGCAACTCTCTGCCTCTCGGAGGAAAGATAATTAAAAATGGCCAAAGGAGATCCTAAGAGGCAAAATATCATCATATGCGTTCTTTGTGCAAACTTGCCAGGAGGAGCACAAGAAGAAGCACCTGGATATTTCAGCCAACTTCTCAGAGTTTTCTAAGAAGTGCTCAGAGAGGTGGAAGACCATGTCTGCTACAGAGAAAGGAAAATTTGAAGACATGGCAAAGGCGGACCAGGCCCATTTTGAAAGAGAAATGAAGGCTTCTATCCCTCCTAAAGGGGAAACAAAAAAGTTCAAGGATCCCAGTGCACCCAAGAGGCCTCCTTCAGCCTTTTTCTTGTTTTGTTCTGAGTATCGTCCAAAAATCAAAGGCAAACATCCTGGCCTGTCCATTGGTGATGTTGCAAAGAAACTGGGAGAGATGTGGAATAACACTGCTGCAAATGACAAGCAGCCCTGTGAGAAGAAGGCTGCTAAGCTGAAGGAAAAGTACGAAAAGGATATTGCTGCATACCGAGCTAAAGGGAAGCCTGACGCAGCAAAAAGGGAGTCATCAAGGCCGAAAAAAGCAAGAAAAAGAAGGAAGAAGAGAAAGATGAGGATGAAGAGGAAGAAGAAGATGATGATGATGAATAAGTTGGTTCTAGCGCAGTTTTTTTTCTTGTCTACAAAGCGTTTAACCCCACTGTACACAACTCCTTTTAAAGAAAAACATTGAAATATAAGGTGTGTAAGATTTGTTTTTAAACTGTACAGTGTCTTTTTTTGTATAGTTAACACAGTACCAAATGTGTCCTGATGGTATTTTCAATAGTCACTAATCTTGCCTGGTGCAGGATGGGGGTTGTAGATAGGCATGGAAATTTAAAGCAGGTTCTTGTTGGTATGCAGCATAAATTAGGTATATATGGAGATGGTAGTTTTTTCATCTTCAGTTGTCTCAGATGCAGCTTATATGAATAATTGTTGTTCTGTTAACTGAATACCACTCTGTAATTACAAAAAAAGAAAAAATTGCAGCTGTTTTGTTAACATTCTGAATTCTTCTAAGTAAACACAATTTTTAAAATTAGTATTGTCCTTTTCATAGGTCTGAAAATTTTTCTTTTTAAGGGGAAGCTAGTCTTTTGCTTTTGCCTATTCTGGATCACACAAATTATTACACTGTTTATCTTTCATATAGTTAGCTGATAAAAAGCTTTTGTCTATGCACCCTGCATACCCGTGATGAGGGTATAAAAGTTGAATTGAGACAGTTTTCATCCATAACTGAAACTTAAATCTTGACCAGTTAATAGCAGATTTCACATAGCTCAGTTACATTTCCAAAGTGAAGAGTAATGGGATTACTCACAGCATGGGATTATTAGAATCAAACATTTTGAAAGTCTATCTTTGAAGGGCTAATAGAAAAGTATGTCTAATCTTTACATGAAGACTCTATGCTCTTTAACTCCTGTTACCATGTAATGGCAGTTTTATTTGCATTTCCCATGTTAAAGACTTGAGAATGTATCCCCAAAAGCGTTAGCTTAAAATACAAGACTGCTGTATTGTTTTTTTGTTGATGTTTGTCCCAGCAAAGGCTCTGGGGGGAAAAGTGCTGGCTATAAATGTCTTCTCCTATTTATCTAAATACAGACTGTTTAGGAAACTTGAGACCGTTGGTTAAAGGTATTTTTAATTAATTAGATTGACTTTTAAAATTGTATCAGTTCAGTTCAGTTGCTCCATCGTGTCCAACTCTTTGCGACCCCATGAATCGCAGCACGCCAGGCCTCCCTGTCCATTGCCAACTCCCGGAGTTTACTCAAACTCATGCCCATCGAGTCAGTGATGCCATCCAGCCATCTCATCCTCTGTCGTCCCCTTCTCCTCCTGCCCCCAATCCCTCCCAGCATCGGGGTCTTTTCCAATGAGTCAACTCTTCGCATGAGGTGGCCAAAGTATTGGAGTTTCAGCTTCAGCATCAGTCCTTCCAATGAACACCCAGGATTGATCTCCTTTAGGATGGACTGGTTGGATCTCCTTGCAGTCCAAGGGACTCTCAAGAGTCTTCTCCAACACCACAGTTCAAAAGCATCAATTTTTCGACGCTCAGCTTTCTTCACAGTCCAACTTTCACATCCATACATGACCACTGGAAAAACCACAGCCTTGACTAGACGGACCTTTATTGGCAAAGTAGTGTCTCTGCTTTTTAATATGCTATCTAGGTTGGTCATAACTTTCCTTCCAAGGAGTAAGCGTCTTTCAATTTCATGGCTGCAATCACCATCTGCAGTGATTTTGGAGCCCAAAAATTGTATACCACATTTTAAATCAGGTATATCTTCCTATATTATGGGTTGCCCCTTTATAAATTGAATAGACCTGAGGGAAAAAGACACTGTATTTCGGTATGAACTATCTGATTTGTTTGAATTTTACTTTTGTTTACAAAACTCAAGCTCATTCATTAGGGTCATATGTTTATCTGCTTAGCAGTTTGGGGAACAATTTGGCAACTTTGTGGCTTTTGAGATTATTGTTCTCTTAAAGTGCCGGTGTTTTAAAATAACATTCTTGTAATTTTACATGCTTTTCTGAGGGACTGCTGTTTTATTATAGAATTTTGACTTGGGTTCTTTCCATTTGCTTTTGTCTATGTAATTTCAGGAGGAATACTGAACATCTGAGTCCTGGATGATACTAATAAACTAATTTCAGAAGTTTAAAAGAAACAAAAACAAACTCTATGATGCAGTCCGCAACCTTTTTGGCCCCAAGGACAGGTTTCATGGAAGATGCTTTTCCATGGACAGGGGGCAGGGAGGGGGATGGTTTTAGGATGATTCAAGTTCATTACATTTATCATGAACTTTATTCCTATTGTTATTACATCAGCTCCAGCTCAGATCATCAGGCAGTAGATCCCAGAGACTGTGTATCCCTGCTATAGAGTAGGTAGTATTAGCTCTGCTTTACAAAGGAAGAAACAAGTTTATTGAGATTAAGAAACTTGGCCAAGATCTAATTCCTAACAAGTGACAGTGCAGGGAGTTGAATCCAGGGCGCCTGGCTCTTCATTCTTCACTACCAGAAATGGTTAGCATCTCTAACTTAGAGTCAAGCACTCCCTTCAGCTGGGCTTTAGCTCCGGAGAAGTTGCTGGCACGACAGCCTGAGCTAGCTGAGTCCTCCACTGGCTATGGACTTCTGCTGGAGGTCTGCTGGAGGGAAAAAACAGGTTAATTTAACAGTACGTTAGTCATTTAGTCATGTGCGACTGTTTGTGACCCCATGGACTGTAGCCCACCAGGCTCTTCTGTTCATGGAATTCTCCAGGCAAGAATTTAACAGTATAATTCAGCCCAAACTTGGGAAAAGAGAATTTGATACTACATTAAATATCAGCATCTAGTTTAGGATGAATGGTTCTCCCACATGGGTGTGCAGCTGGCTCATTTATCTGACCCGATTAAACTGGATCAACCAAAACTGTTAGTCATATCTAATTTAGCAATGATTGTGTTGATAGAGTGAGCCACAGCACTATAAATAGCAGAATGGAGCTAATAGGCTCTGATGCTGTCAGCTTTCATTAGCTTACACTTCAGTTTTACTTTTCATTTACACTTCTGCTTTACTAAGAGCTTCTGGGCAGCTTGGGGTAAGGTTTTTAGGCTCAGACTGTGCTTTTTGTCAGTTTGGTGTTCTCCGAGTGCAAAGCAACAGTCCACTGTCATCCATACCTTTGCTAGCATGACGATGCCTGAACGCTCCTAGACCGTAATTTGATCTAGTTCCTTAACCCTATAGTCTAGCTGATAGAAGGTAATGGAACACCACATTTGCCCATGTGATAGGGCAGAATTCTTCTGTCTTCTCACCTGAGTACAACAGGCTTGTGCCACCTAGAAGAATGAAAAGGTAACTCAGAATATGTGGGGTCCATATAGCCCAAGCGGATATTCTTATGAAGAAGAGGAAGTATGGGCCCCACAGATAGCAGGTTAGTGTGAAGGGAGTGTGGTTTTGGTCCCAGTAAGTTTCTAAAATGACTTGCTCTGAGAACGGTATATGTGTGTTTCATTTTGAGGTCCTAGGAATTTTTAAGTAACTTCCGTAGAATTCCTGTTTGGCTGACAGGAAAGACACCTTTGTCTTAGGGCCAGTAACAGCTTCTAAGAGGGGGCTAAATGTGAAAGATGTTGATTTTCTTTTTTTATTGTGTTCATAGTATGAGCTGTTATCATGTAAAGGAAGGTTGGCAGGTGAAGGTATTTGGTGGGTGAGCATTGTTTTTCTTCTTATCAAGACTGGTGTGTTACCTCTCCCCCATATCATTCAGTAGGTCTCTTGGACACTATTTCATTAATTACCTCTCTGAATTCCTGGGGTCAGTGTCTGGTTTTTTTTTTTTTTCCTCTTGTCCTTTAAAAAATTACAGAGACGTAGAATATCTTGAGCTAAATGACAATGAAGTAAGAGATCATAGCCCCTATTATTTATTGATAACAGTATGCTAAGAACAGTACTGAATGCTTTAAATGTGCTCTCTCTTTTCATCTGTACAACAACTCTTTTATTTATTCATCCTCATTTTACAGAGCAGAAAAGTTTATAGTAAGCAATACAAGTTGGGTTAAGTATGGTAAGAAGGCAGCTGGGTAGCTAGACTGGGATTTGAACACATGTCTGCTGATACCAAGTTTCCTGTGATTAAACCACTCTCCTGCACTGGGGATCCTTCTTGGGCTCAGAATTTAGCTGAAGGATTATAGAGCATAAGGAAAAAGGAATAAGAAGTGAAAGAATAGAGCAGGGGTAAAGGAATGAAACTTTCCACCAGGAGACAGATAACAGTTTGTTTCCATTTTTTTCAGCCAGGTTCTGCTTCTGTATTTCACAACACTTCTAAAAAGTGGCAATGTGCTCTAGGCAAGCTGATGTCACCTTCCAGATATACAGTATAATATTTCATAATCCTAATTTTTAAGGGCACACACTTAGAGCATTTTACTAGTGTTACAGATCTCAGGCTTATTTCAGATAGAATTTCTCTCCCTTCTCTTTTCCCTTTAAGAGGCAAATAAAAGTTTAAGTAAGACTTACCTAAGAAGCTACTGCAAGTGTAGTAGTCATTTGATCAGAGATATAATATGTTGAACTGTAATTTCTATCCAAAAGTCTGTTTTTAGACAGATGTTTCCTGATACTTCAGCTTTGCAGTCTTTTCACAGACCATGAATCTTTAGGGGGAAATAGAAATGTTTGTTCTTCTTGAATGTTTTCCAATACTTCTTGGTTCTTACCTGCTTTTGACTCAGCTGTTAAACCTGCAAAATTTTCACCTGATTCATCTGCAAAAGAAGGTTGTAGGGCAGTAGTTGAATAAGCTGGTACTTCAGTGTAATGTCTAATAATAGCTAATATTTATTGAGCACTCAACTATCTGGCCCAGTGCTAAAGCTGGGTACTTCACACTGTTATTCATTCTTGCAACCCAATATGTAGGTAACAGTGTCATCCCTTTTACGGATGATAAAACTGAGGTTCAGCGAGATTTGGAAACTAGCGCAGTTAGTGACAGAGCCTACACTCAATCACAGGTCTGACTCCAAAGTCAATATTTTCAGTTTTGCCTCAGTGGT